AGTTACAGACTCGAACCGGGGGAGTTCCTCTTCCAGGCTCCTTGCCCCTGCCCCCTTCCCGCCCCAACCACCCCCGGGGCACAAGTCGGGCTTCAAGAGGCAGCAGCTACACGAAAGGAATCCTTTCCTGGCTGACTCTGAGCCGAAGGCCAACGGTGACAGGAGGGGGCGGGGCCTTCACGGAAGGCGAAAGGAAGGAGGGGTGCAGGTGGCTGCGCCCTGCGGAAAACGCTCTCCAGGGAGACGCGCGTGCAAAAATACTTGCGCTGCAACTTCGCGTGCCTGCGCGGGGACCGAGGGAGCAGCGGGCCAGGTTCGAGACTATCACATCCGCGCTGGTCCTCTCTGCCTCATAAAGAACTTCAGACATCAGCTACGTATTTTTTTGTATTGAATATTAAATAAATCCAACCTGAGCAGTGTGGTTTTAATAGATGCCCTTGAGGGAGGCTCAGTTCTGTCAGAGCTGGCGGTGGCCGTGCGGGTAGAGACCCTTCCGTTTCACGCAGGGCCCGGCCCCGGGGGAAGGCACAGGCACGGCTTTGTCACCTTCAGGTGGCCGAGAAAGCTTTGCCTGGCTCAAGGGAGTTCTCGGAGGGGCGACTCTACCTCGGCACCAGTGACCGACTTTCGAGGGCCTTAACTCTCAGAAAGGGGGCAGTTTTATAACCAAAGAAAAAAAAATTTATTTTTCCTTTACATACTTTGTTACAGAACAATTCGCTGAACATACAGAAGTGATAGGACATTTATATGGAAATTTTTTTTTTCCATTTTTAATATTTGGTTAAACAAAATACATCTCTGTAAACAAACCCAAGACAAGGCTCTAACAAAACCAAACGAGCAAGGAAACAAACAGGGGCTTCCCCGCTCCCGAGCGGTGGGACCGGAGCGGCTCGCCCCGCCCACCCTCTCGGGCACAGCAGCCTCGCCTCCCGCGGGGGTGTGATCGTACACTTTCCCTTTACCTGAGCAGCTGGATCACACTGTCCCCCCCCCCCCCCCCCCAGGAAAGGTGCTGACATACAAGGAAAGTAGCCCCAAAATATTTTAAAACATCTTTGCATATTGTGCACTGATCTGTTGGCTTGCAGTTTCCATGCAAACGGGGTTTCTCCACAGCGCGCCTTTCATCAGCGTAGAAAACGTTGCTGCCGAGATTTATTTTTTCCCCCTCTTGAAGAGATGGCTTCAAGTCACAAGCAGAATGCCTGCAGGCTGCGCACCCTGCCCGGAAAGTGTTTAAGAACTGCCAGCTGGTATTGGTCAGTGGAATGTGTTACGAAATAGGACTTTTTATAGAAACGTTGGGTCTTTAAAACGTACGAGCCGTTCGCCCTTGGCTGCGGGAGGCTGTGCTCAGAAGACTGCAAAACGGTGCTTGCCAAGATGTCCGGGGGTCGGTGAACACCATCGTCCCGTCGTCACGCGGCCTCCGTTCTCTTTTAGGAAGGTGCAAGTACGGCGGTCTCTCAGCTTCAAACACCCGCTCACGCTTTGCGGAGCTCCCGAGAGAAAAATAACTGAGAAAAAGGTAGTTACAACCCCTCTCCCTCGCAAGCTCAAACACCAGTAATGAGACTTTCCTGCACGATGGAGCGGGATCCTTCAAGCTCCGTCACGTCCCAGAGATTGCTGTTTAACCGAGACATCCCACGCATAAAGGAGGGAAGCAAATGGTAGCTCGGCCAGGAAGAGCTAAACGCAACAAAGCCTGTTCCAAATTCAGCATTTCCTCCTCCTGCTGTGGAAGGCATGACCGAGCTACAGCTCGCCCAGGTGACCCAGAAACAGCCAGTGGAGATTCCTCTCAGCGCCCCCATGTCTAGTCACTCTTCCCCACGGAAGGGAGGGGAGGAAAAAGCGATTCGTCCGTTAACGGAATGTTTGTCGGCCAACACTAAGAGAGAGGTCGGTTCAGCTACCAGGCCAGGGTCTCTCTAACGCCCGAAGGCTCTGGCGGTCCCTCTGCACCTCCCACATTATCAGCTAGTAACTATAAAAGGGGCAAAAACTGACTATTACAAAGGCTTCCCTCCTCAGCCGATTTTTGCTTTGTAACTTCATCTTTCTGGGACATTTCGCATGACATTCGCGACTGTGGGCTAGACTTCTGGAAAGAGGAAAATAAAAGGGAATGAATTCCTCTCAAAACCCCTTGAGTTTTCTTCCTCTCTCCGAACAGCCCCTAAACTACTGGGTGACCACGCAGAAAACCAAAATAGATATTAAAAAAGAAAAAAAACCCCAAGATAGCACAAAGAAACCCAAGCAGACTACGGCCTCTCTCCAGTCCAGAAACTCGATACTCCTCAATTAGCCTGTGCTTGCTGTCTCCACGTCGCCTTAGCCAGCCACATGCTGCCGAACAACCGCTCACCACATACATAAATCCCTGGAGACACTGGGGAAGAATCCACTAGCTACCCGAAGAATTTCTTGAAAGATGACACTGTTTTTATCGTTGTTTTCTCATTCCTGGCACAAACCATCCCTAAAAAGCAGAGGGTCGTGCTGAGCACCGTACCATTCCATAGTGTTTGAGAGTGTCCTGAGAGACCCTTAGGAATTGCAAATGTCTTCACGACAACTTGTTTCGGAGGGAGAGACTTTGTGAAGAGGCGGCAGCGTGCTCGGCCCCCCGCTCCTCCCCGGCAAGCCCCGGAGGGAGCAGCGTCCCACCACACGCGGCCTTGACCAATGTGGGGAAAGGGAGGCCAGAGGCTTCCGGACACCCTAGCCCCAAAGCCCAGTTTTGAAGAGCGCAGTGCCTTCTAGCTAGCTGAAGGGCACGCAGCTCATCCGCCTCTGCGATTAAAGCGATTGGCTTCCAGTTTCCTCCACTCTGCCCTCAATTCTTCCCCCCCCCGCAGCGTCCCACGCCACTGCCCTATTGCACCAAGGAAGGAAGAGAAGAGCCTAACAAAGGAAGTTCCAGACGAGAAGAGTCGAGGCACCCGTTATCCAGGTTTCAGGACATCGGGAGTTCAGTAAAGGGGAAGAGCTGTAGTGGTGGGAGGACAGAGTCGGCCGGGTCACACGTCAGCTCTCCAGCTCTGATGTGCTTCCACCTCCTCTGGCACCACCAGCAGGAGTTCACAGTTCTTTCCTCTCAGCTGGTGTTTCAAAAATTTCCTATCGTAAAGGGAAACAGAAATAAGCACCACTGAATGTAGAATTTCGTCGTCTTCTACAACAACTAAACGCAACTAACTCTGCAAACATGACCAAGAAATGGCTGGGAAACCCACAAGCAGTCTTTAGTTATTTTCTGACAAATAAAAAAAAAAAGCTCGAGTATTAAACTTGCCCCACAAGATTCAACACACCTCTAACCCAGCAAGTTATTGCAGAATCAGATAAGCACGATCTTAACCTCACCAGAGAGGTCTATATAGATATCACTTCCCAATTTTCCAAGGTGGCAAAAATAGAATGAAAACCAAGTTCAGTTTGTTCAGGTCCCTGAGATCAAGAATCCCACCGTATTTTAAAATAATGCCAACAAATCTGGAATACTTGTGGAAAAAACACCCCCCATCATTTAGATGTCCTTATTGCAGGTTGTCGGAGCAGCGTACCGCCTGGTCATTTGACGTGGTTCCGCAGCCCCTTTCTGCCCATAAGCTGCTTCTAATACCAAACCTGGATTATCCAGTAACTGTGAAAGTCAAATCCATGTTTTCTCCACTCTCTTTCGGCCCAGATTTCCAAAACTCCCTATACAGGAAGCCCTTATTTATTGCTGCAGAACAGCACACCCAGGATAAAATCCACCAGAAGCTCTGCACAGTAGTTCCAGCACCGCGTTACTTTATGCCAGAAGTTCACAAGAGGCTGACATTCACGTTACCAAGACTTCAATGGCATGGTAGGCTCTGCAAATACTGCTCATGTGCAATCCCTACCTCAGAACAAGTCTAGCTGAGGCAGCAAAGCTGCTAGTAGGCTTTAGAACAGGATCGAGTGGAAGCTGAACGGCAACTAAGAGCACGTGAAACTTTACAAAGTAATGACACCAACCATCTCGTGTTAAGATTGAAGAGGGGAGTCAAGCCAGAAGCGCAGCGTACGCTTACGTAGGCAGGTGACTCCTAGCAAGCAACTTTCGCTGCTGTCAGGAATAAGGCTGCACTTCTGGAAAGCCTTTTTTTGGGAACTTGCATGCAGATGTGACTAAAGAGGCAAAGGAACGCTGATACTCTCACATTTGAGGAGAGGGTGAGGCACAGCACATCTCGTTGCAGGTGTCACCCACTAATATCAGTCTTGGCCTCTACCTTCGTCACTAGTGACAGAGCCAGCCACGTAAGAGACAAAGTCGGGCTCTCCTGAGCTCGCAGAGATCACCACTGGCAAAAGCCTTTTCCTAGCTTCGCGCAAACAGGGTATAAATCTAAGTGGAGGCACAAGAACTTTATTACTCTCAAATCTTTGCTACTGAAGTTCAGCCATACATGTTTCACCCACTAACTGTTTAAGGACAGATTCCCCACGTCCAACAGGGACGGATTTAAGGAGGAACAGGATACAAAAAAATCCTACCTGAGCTCACTTTCACCTCCAATCCACTCGGGCATCTTGAGTTTGGAGTCGAGGTTGTAGTAGGTGCCTCCCACCTCCCGGACGCAGATCCAGTGCTGTCGCTTGAGGGGGAGCTTCAAGGGGCCCCAGCAAAGGCTGGAGGGCAGATTCATGATGAAGCCCATCACGTTAGACAGGGCAATGACGTTAACATCCCTGAAAGAGCACAGAAAACAAGACAGCGATAAGATTATATTCCGGTACTTTAACCTCATCTCTTTCTCGTTTTTACAAACAGCAGCCGTCTCCAGTATTACGTGACTTCTGAGTACCTGCGCTTGTCCCACCAAACCGCCTCATAGCCTTTGGTCTGAAGCGCTGCCATGATCACGTTCACATCATAGTTTCCGTTTCCCAGCATGCTCTTCTTGTGGGGCGTCACCATGGTGTTGGGAGACAGCCTGCAAACAGAACAGGAGGCTGCTCTAGCGGGCATTTGCGGAACCTACATTCCACCATTGGAAGGGACTACTTGCCGTATAACTTGAAGCCCGTTTTCAGCATTTTTGTGCTTAAATACAAAAGGTCCCTTCCAACCGAAACTATTCTATGGTGTTGTCCCTTATCACTCAACAAAGGGGCTGAGAGGGCTAAATAATGCATTAAGAATAACTCTGACATACAAAGCCTCCAAAGATCTTAGCTTTGATACGAAAGAGACCGCAAAGCAGGAAGCTCTTTTTTCCCCCCTCCTCGAACGGGTACTTCTAAAGGATGCTTCAATTATTTTTTTCCTCAGTTCATGCTTGGAGTAAATGCCTGTTTGCCATTTAGAACAACGGCCATCACAATTTCAAGAGTTCAACAGTCAACACCAGTCTTGAAGACTGGATGAGAGAACAAGAGGCAAGGTCAGTTGGCTGCAGAAAAGGTTGTTCTCCCCCACCCTCCACTGGTAAATGAAAGAAGTATTCAGACACAAAGCTGTGAAGATATTCGGGTTTGGGAGCTTTCTAAAGCATTGCTGTTGCTATATGATAAAAAAATATATATATATCCGTTGCCGTAAATAACTAAACAGCTAACCTTGTAGCAAACAAATCTCTTCAGCTTTAATTCATAAGCGTGCCTAGACATCGCCCGCATTACCATAACATCTGAAAATCCAGAATCACAGTCCATCACATTACACACAAAAATATGACAGCCTTTGCACAAATGCAGATAATGGATGCAATGCATAAAACATGGAGACACTTGGCAAGAAAAAAAACACACCAAAAACCAGTTAGAGACCAGCAGAGGTGACACACCCAAAGAACTGGTACCCCTGAGCAAACTTTCACCAAGAATCATCTCAACATCTCTACTCACACAATAAAGTCTTACCTTTTTTTCCCCCCAAGAAATTTTGTAAGGAGGGGAAACAACAAGGCAGTGAATTATTATCAAGGTGACTGACGGGCTTTAACAGCTGGAAGAGCAAGCACAGGGGGAACCTGGGAGCAGAGAACAGCAAGGTTCTCTGCCAAACCAAAGAAAGTCAAGCCTGAAATCAATTCTGTTGTGATGAGTTGCTCTTTTGATTGGTAAGGACTCCATTAGCTCTGCTGCCACAAGGTTCAGATGTTTTATATCATCCAAATACCCGTGTTTCACCTGCCTCTCCCTCATGTCAATTCCGTCACCCAAAACTCCTGATGTTCCTGCACATTTTTTGTTCGGCCTTTAGCACAGTGCAAGTTCTGCAGGCATATTTTGTCTAGTGAAAATCCCTCAGCCCCTCTGCATTCCCCCCCAACAACATAAGGCATCTGACAAGAAGAAGAAAGCAGTGGATTGAGCAGGGAGTTTCAGACCAACCAAGGCTAGAGAGGCTACAGACAGGTAGCTTTTCGCATCAGCTGAGTTTTCTTGCAGTGGAACAGACTGCAGCAGAACAGCCTGGGAACTGACTTAGCTACAGAAGGGAGAAGAGTCTGAAGCAACATGCTAATAGGAAAAGCTATTAATACCCACCACTGGGCATCTCCCAGCGAGGCAGTGACATTTTCAGAGAATCATGGTTTCCAGTCTCCAAAGCTCTGCTGTATTTTTACTAATCACAGAGATGCTACTGCAGCTTGTCACAGCCCTTCCAGCATCTCCGTGAAGCAAGATCACTTGGCTACAACTAATTCCTCAAGATCATTGCTTCAACCTATTAACTCTCCTGAGTGCCAGCGAGCTAGGAAAGCCTTCCCATTAACAGAGCCCTTTGGGTTGCACAAGCACCCTCTGGCGGCACCGTCTTCCAGAGACAAGCTTATTTGAGAGCTGAAAGAATACGTTTATCTTTGCCCCTTCCCGTAACTTTCAGAGCCCCAGAAATGAGATGGGGAGATGAGCAGAGGTGACACACTCAAAGAACTGGTACCCGGGAGCAAGCTTTCACCAAGAATTGCCTCAACATCTCTACTCGCATGCATCTAAACAGGGTCCACTATCATCAGCTGAAGGATTCTGATCAGACAAGGAATTAAGTTGCCTCCCCAAAGTTAATTTTTTTTAATCTAGACACTAAGCTGAGGAAGACTGACAAAGTTGGACAGAAATCCAGGTAATAATCCTCCTGAGCTTTCTAAGTGAGAAACTTTCATCAACATGTTGTCTTAACACAATGGGCTCCAAGATTCCTGTACGCAGTTGTCTTTCCTAATCAGGTCTCAATACACAGACTCCAGTGAAGCGAAGAGATTTTGTTTGTATCTCCATGCAACGTTTGGAACATGCAATCTTACTTCCTGCAGCAAAAGCCAGAGGAACATCAAAAAGGTATTTCTTGTGCTAGAGGAAAGAAGAGAAGAAGGACTAAAAAATCAGAGGGGAGCTTGGACCAAGTTTTCGCATACACTTGAGATAATCATCAGACTACACTGGCCTTATGCAATAGGATGCAGCAAAAGGGAAACTAACGATTAAGCAATGTGGTTCAATCATTCCTCAAGGGATGTGGTAAAAGCTACAGAAAGCTTAAACTTATCCGTGATTTCGTTACCTTGTCAACACCAGGTTTAAAAATCACCCCTCGCAACATTTTTGTAGCTTATTAAAAATATTCATCAGTCTTTTATCAGTCATCAACACACAGAATATGACCAGACACAGGAAAGACATACAGAAAAGTGATGCATAAAGGACAACTAAATCCACACTTCTTAAAGGCAAGTCGAAGAGCTAGACATGAGTAGTAACCCAACAGACGTGCAAAGGTAGTGGCAATTCTTATGCATAGCTTATAGCTCATCCGTTTCTGAGAGGAATTTCCACGTATATTTCCATACTTCCACAGGGCCGAATCAATCTGTGCATCTTGATCCGAATATTAGGATGGAACAATACCAGGTTGGAAACAAAGACAAATTCTCCCTTCTAGGGCAAGAGGTTTGACAATGTTAACATCCCAGCTCTTTCTGAGAGGTTTCATTCGGCACACTAATTCTCTCTCACCAAACCAAATGAAAGCCAACTAATTAGATCATCACACTCCTTCTACCACATGAACTGCCTTTGTTTGCTTCAGGCCAATAGCAATCCATCTGCAGTTAAGATTCTGACAATTGCTGCTCTGGAACAAAACCGTAGCATCTTTATACTGGACAACGAGTGCCTTGAGCCTACCGTGGACCAGCTCCACTTCACCAACAGGAATTTTATTTACAATGCTATTGTAAATAGCATTAAAATCCGGTATTTGCTGTTGCCCATCACCACACTTCTTTTGCCAAAGACAGGCACGCGTTTGACGAGTCAAGCACCAGTTCCATAAATCTGCCGATTTTCAGGACGGCAGCAACAGGCGCACAGCTCCCTGCTCATCGGCACAGGGTACCGCGACTGCCTTGTCCAACAGTACCTGCGTAACCACTGCCACGAAGCGTGATTCCCTACCTGTCACAAACACAAGACGCTGTCGACTGCTGGTAACGGGTATTCAAGCGTAACTTAGGCGACGTCTACAACATCTGCAGGTTGAGTATCAGAGGAGACCCCTTTTCCTATTTGATTACTTAGCTTCATCAATGAAAGGTCACCAGGATTTTCAAAGGCACGCACAGGAGAATTTCCACAAAGCGTCGAAACAGCATAAAATAAACATTGAGCAAAATACGAGCTATTGTACAGGCCACATTAATAATTCATATTTATCCCAGTAAAACTCAAAAACGCTTTTATTATCTGAAGCTGCTGGGAAACATTTAGCAATGCCACAGAAAACGGGGATCTAGCTACTGAAATTAAATCCAGTTTGACAGAGAACACAGGGTCTTGATGCACGGAAAAAAAACCATGTAATATTTGAAGAACTTCACTTAACCGCTTGAATAAGTAGTTACTTGTTTGGCAAAGCTCCTAATTTCCAAAAAACTTACAAATGTTGAGGTACTAAATCAAGAAGTTTTCACGATGACCCACTTGTCATTCCTGCCCATTCCTTCACTCTCCCAAGGCAATCCCAAAATCCATTATTAACATCAAGATAACATATCTACACGAGGCAGGGGTGAAAATACAGAAGATGGGTAGAAGATGCATTGAGGTGGGTGGGGGAGAAGACAGCAGTCCAACCACATGACAGCATCTGCAATAAAGCCCTTGGACCCAAAATCATCAGCCAGAATCTTTTAAGAAACAAGTAAAAGGAGACAGAATTTCTGCATGGAGGGAGGGGAAAAAAAAGGGGGGGGGGCCAGATTTAAAAAAAAAGCTACATTCAGTTCAAAGCAGTGGCATACTCTGAACCCCTCCTTTGCTCTATTTCCCCCCCCCCAAATAAGACTTGAAAATTCCTCCGAGCAACAGAGGAGAAGGGGAAGCTAACGCCAGTGCAGAGAGTATCCTACCTCTGAAAAATCTCCTGCAGGGTTTCCCTAGTGAAGGCGTTGCTGTCCTGGAAGACATTGTTGAGGGCATGGAGGGCACACAGCTCCCTACGCTGCTTCTCATGGTAAATATGCAGTGGCGGTAGCTGGGGTGGCTCCAGTGATTCCGATTTGGTCTTGTCACCTTTCCATGGCACGCAACTCATTTTTGCGTAGGGTGGATGGAGAGTAGGTGGTGAGAAACAAAGGAGGCTGAAGTTTCTTCCTCCACAGTCACAACAGCAGCCCACTGCCCCCTTCTTTTGCAGGCTAGCGCTGCTTCCAGCTCACAAACCCTCCTCTTGTGCTTCAGTTTGTTCAGTAATTGCCTCTGATGGCTGGTTTTAAAAACCACATAAAGATCTGCAACATATTTTTCCTCCCTCCTCCCATACCCCATAAAATGTAATACTTCCCTCCCCCCACACCCCACAGGAAAAAAAAGAAAGTCAAAAGATATGAATCCCCTTAGTCTCAAGGTACCAGCTGGAATTTATCACACCGCTCCTTTTCTTCCATCTCCTTTGGTCTATAGTGCCACTAAAAAGGTACCCAGAGCAGGTAAAAAAGAGAGGCCCACCCCCAAAGTGCCAAAGTGGAGCAGATGAAGCCAGCTTCTGGTGCTGCCTATGGGAGCACAGGGTGGTTAAAGACTTAACAGCTGCATTCCTCCATTCCTTTGGGAATGACTGAATCCAGGCAAGAAGATGCCAACAGCTCGGGAAAGGAAACCGCTTCTTGCTAGGCCACAAAAAACCCAGGTCCAGGCTCCGGGGAAGGCAATTCCTCACAAGTCACCCTGCACTCCGACAAAGGGAAGTTTCCATTAGCAATGAGAAGAGGCAACACAAAGCCCGTGGGAGCGAGGGGAGGGCAGGCAGCAGGCGGGACCAGCCCCAAGGCCTGCCTCGCACCTTCCCACCCGGGCCTCCCCACCCCGCGCTCGCACAACCACCACCACC